ATTTTTGAAGTTTATTTTTTATTAGCTATGCTCTAGATCGCGCTGTAGGTAAACTTATTGAATTTCATTGTTTTTTTTTCAAATAAATACAAAATTTGAGGTCTCCATTGAAAAAAGTTCAGTCGCGATGTGAAATTTACAAATTAATTTATTTATTGCATTTTGTTCTATTCGCTTGTGTACTTTTTTCAACTTTATTTCTTCTTTTCTTTTGATTGCGATCATCAAAATCATCGTCATAATTATTTTATTACTCTCGATTGAGAGTGTAATTTTGCTATTTGGCAGTTCTAAAGGTTTCGGGGTGTTCCCGAGTTAAAATACGTGAAGTTCAAAATAGTGGCAAGTACCGATTTCAAAAACGGTAGCTTTTAAGCATTTAAGTAATAGTATAAATAAGACTAAATGAGTAATTTTTTAAATATCGAGCCCTAACCGCCAAAATAACGTAAGCGATATTTTTTCAAAATTTTCTTTTTGATGCAGAAATATTCCTAGAGCATCTAGATGCATTCCTACATCAAAAAGAAAATTTTGAAAAAATGTCGCTTACGTTATTTTGGCGGTTAGGGCTCGATATGTATATACATGTGTAGCCTGTGGGGAATTTCGTAGTCGTCTACCACAATAGCCAACTTTTGGTCGACTTATAACGGCCAACTTTTATCTGGTTTCAAAAAAATTAACTATAAACACTTATTACTTTATTGGTGTTCTTTCATTAGTTAGTTTTTTTTTTCATTTAATAACCAGCAGACCCGCCGAAATTCGTCCCGCCCAAAATAAATTTTTTGTATTGAAATATTTTGGTCCAACATTTTCACCGTCATGATTTTCAGTGACGCATTTATCTTCTAATATTACGATTTGGAGGTGGTCAGAAGGCATATTTCCATTGCCATCTTAAATAACCCAGCAAAAGTTTCAGTGCATTTGGAAGGTGCCACGCCCCCTTATCAAATAGCACCAATTTTCTCTAACAGTATGGGATTGATTTCATATACCTCCATACCATGTTCGAGTACTCTACATGAACCCTTTCAGAGATATGCAATATGAAAAATCCGATTTGTATGGGAGGTGCCACGCCCCCAGCACCTAGCGTTATGAAATATACCTTACATCAGATTCTTATACCTACCATATATACACAAAATATTTCATAAAGATCGGTGCAGCCGTTGAGGAGGAGTTCGACCACAAACACCGTGAGACGAGATTTTCATATAATAGATATAAACTTGTATTATCGTCCGGGACCGGTACTAAATATGGGACGGGCCCCCTCTAACCCAAATTTTTTTGCTTAATATTTAAACGAATTTCCAACGTTATCACTACATCCTTATTCAGTCCTTTTGAAAAATACCAATTATTTTCATGGTATGTGGAGAATGTCTCAAATGCATTCCTTTAAGCTCAGATGGGCTGTATGCAAGATATTCGTCTTCTATTGATTTCTGATTTGCCCCTGTTGTAAATAACCTCGAATCTCTTTGAATGTTTGATTAACCATGAGAAAATCATTACGATGACAACATTTAGACAACACGTGTATATAATCATTCATCGATAACCTTATGGAAAACCTGAAAATAGGAAAAGTTACTGGCACTTGCCGCGATTTTGAACTTCACGTATTCTAACTCTGGAACACCACCCCAAAATAGTCTAATCGGAAATTCCATCGTTCCAGACCGACTCAGTTGAATTTGGCTCAAGGACACCGTGAGCAATTTATTTATGTATTACGATGACGATGGTGTTGAAATTCAAAATAAAAAGCAAAAGAGAAGGAAAGTTTGAGGAAAAAGTAGACAAAAGAATAAAACAAAATATGTACAATAAATAATGACTTATAATTTGATCATTTATTTGAAAAAAGTATATATATTAAGTCAATTAAATTAAATAAAATTGACCTAAAGCGCCATCTAGCGCAAAGATAATAATAAAAAAACTTCAAGAATGAATTTCTCGTATCAAAAACCCGTATATGAGCATTTTCTAAGAACATTTTTCAAACCTAATTAACAACAAATTTTGCACAAGGATTAAATTAAAAATATCTTCCTTATTTGAGCTCGAAAAAAGCCCTTAACGTAGTATTATGGAAATCTAAACCTATCACTTGCATTTCGTTTTACGCAATAGCGAGCCAACATAGTGTAGTAGTGTGACGCTTAAACTGTTTGTGTAAGTGGCTCTGATAGTTTTCGCAAAAAAAATTACATAGATATGCGGTTCTGCTGCGAAAGGTGAAAGTTTAACAATGGCCGGCCCTTGCTGCAGAAAAACTAAATTTAGCGCAGAACACATTTCTGAGCTGGGACTCAAGCGCATACAATTAAACTGTTAAATATAGTCGGCTGTTGGAACAGCGGTGCAGCCCAATGTGTTAAATAAAAGTGGGAAAGAACATTGGAATTTACCAGCTGACCACATATTTAGCTGCGTAAATAAATCAGCTGATGTGTTTAAAACCAGTTCCGAGCCTTTAAAACGTTTGTAAGCTTTAACTGAAGTGCAGTCGTTATTAGTTCCTCTCTCACCGGACCATTTGGTCAAGTTTCTTTGCCACCAACTAACTCACTTACTCGTATGTGCGCTGTTAAGACGACTGTTGCAGGCCTTCGATGGGTTTGATGAAGAAAACCAGATTTAGTTAGGCGAGAAACGTTGAAGCGCCGCTTTGTGACGCACCAATTGTAGTATATAAAAAAATACGCCGCGATGTGAATTAAAAAAGTACGACTGATTTTTCAACTGATTAACAAATTACGGAGCATTGATCTCTTTTAAACTCCACTAATGTTACACAAATAATTCGTTGCGATACCAAACATCAAAATGAGCAGCCTGAGAAACAATGCGAAGTATTCAGTTTTATTAGTCATCGCTGCTTTTATTTTATCACAAAACGTTGGTAAGTGAACCAGTTTGCAGGGTTTGAGCAACAATCGACGAAAGCTGCCTTTAAAAAAATTCATACGAGTTTCGCTAAAAAAATGTACAAATTTACGAGTACATACTATGTATGTACATACATCTGGATACAATTTTAAAAACGACATCATTCGCCATAATATTGCAACTTTCTCTTTTCAGTTTTGTTATTATTGACTTCATTCCATATTTACCATCCTCTTTTATTGTGTTATTGTTTTCATCCGTCATTCGTAAATAGTCAGCGCGCAACAACTTATAGCGTACATTTCTCAACATGGTCTGCATGGTGAGATCACTTTTCGCCAAGTCAATGCAACAACTGTGGAAATAAAAGCCAAGCTAGAAACCACACTTCAGTATCCGGAACAAGTGTGGAGTTGGGGTGTAAGAAAGTTTCCGGTGGATTATAGCGATATCGACCCGGAGTCGCGCTGCAGTTTGGAAAAGTTGGGTGCCCAAGTGTTGAGTTTCGATGAGAGTCTCGATTATCTGGTCTTACCCGGAAATGAAACTGCCACATGGCACCGGGAAATGATGTTAATAGGTGAGAGAGATTTACTGACATACTTATGTATCTGCTATTGCATAGCAGGGTTCGTCTTTCTGCACACATACTCTGCTCACGCACACGCCAGTAACACATTCAACATGATTCAATAATGTCAATATATATGTTTACTACATTACAAGTACATCAAGTATATAAAGAGTGGCAAAACCGAACGATGCTACTAACTCTAAAGAGTATCGAAACACTAATGAATTCTATTTTTTATATACTAATGCACATACAAATATGTATATGTGTATTAAAGTACTTATATATATATATTCATTAGTACATAATGAAGCTATCTATCCCTTTGAATTTTCCAACCCAACGTACATATTTGCAAAGAACACTGACATTCTTGTCACAAAGCAGATCAAACATATCTTTCAGATATATAATTTTTTGTAGATTGCACCAAGAATGTAAAATATTTATTATTCAAAAAAAAAAACGATTGAAAAACAAAAACAAGAAACTCAAAAACCAATGTAGGGAAAGAAAGAGTTCTCGTACGGTCTGGAAAAATCTAAATTGCTGCAATATTTTATTCACAACTAACCGATTGATTTTGAGTCAAGCAAGCAGTAAGACTCTTCAACATGAAATTGTTTAGAACGGTAAAGGAACTCAATTAAACTATCTACTTATGAATTTATTTATAATACATATATATTTACGTATATACGTATTTATACATGAAGCACAAAGGCATCTCTAGATATATACATCTAATTTTAGAACAAAAACCTCCACAATGAACAACGAAATTTTTAAATGTAATTAATATTTAGTTTGTAGAATTTTAGCGAGAAAGAGGGCTAAGATCATGAAAATGAAGATTTATTCAAATGATATTATGACTCCGCTTTTTATAGACATATTGTTAAAAAAAAAACAAAAAATAACACAGTTGAAAAACAACTTACAACTAAAAAAAGAAAATGATTTCTTTCGTACGTAAAAGAGTAATTAAAACCAAAAGATGACTTCAAACCGACCAAAAAGTTATAAAAAAGCCAAATAAAACATCTAAAGTCATCTAAAGAACAGCAAAAGAAAAAGAAAGCTTGTTTCATTTACATACATATATCAATTTTTATTTTTAACGCACTTTGAAGCGGTTATTGCGTACATTTTTTTGTTTGCTTTACAGGGACTAATACATACATACATACATACATACATACATACATATGTATGCATGTACTACTACTTGCATACTAAATATCTTTTTAATTCCATTAAGCCCATATACTAAAATAAGAGTCCACTAAACGAAACTTAAAAACATAAATACATACTGACTAACGAAAAAATTCACCCAACAATTAATTCATACCTCATTCATCCTGTGACCATGTACATATACATATATGTATGCATGTGCATATACACATATGTACAATGTACTGCGTTTGATATGTATGTAAATACATACAACGCACAGAAATTTTTTCTTGCGAAATTCGGTGATTCTATGCAATGTTCAGAAATATAAAAAGTTTTTATGAAGCAGGATTACGATAATGTGGCGCTTGCAATGAGGTGCACACATGCACACACTGGAGCTCAATCGTGTTGAATCTACGTTTTTATTAGTTTTACAGTATCCTTTAGATAGACACACATTTTAAGGAGACATTTTTATTTTTCCTGTAATTTATAAAGGATTTTATAATATCTACGCATTCTGATGCGAATTATTATAGGTACATACATGTAAATTTTCATTTTGGTTCTCTTGCTACCACTCTGTATTACTTCACATTGGTTTTGTGGCAGTGAAAAAGACAAGTTGGACATTTTGATTAAAACCATCATCTGGTTATAAAGAATAAAACTGTCTCAAACTCACAATAGTGATCGAGAATCGCCCATTTTCACTTCAACATTTCATAGAACTATAACTGGAGAAAAATTAAAAACGTACTTTTGCTTTTTTACCCTTATGTTCTGGGACACCTTAATGTACATGCACGTATGTATATATGTATGTATGTATGTATGTATGTACCCTGCAGCAATTCAGACTCACCCTAAGTTAGCCATCAGTTAGTCCCTATTGTTACCAGCACTAGTCCCTCAGAATTCCCCTGCCAATACTTTCAACTGCCATTTTGAGCATTTGCGTGTCATTGGAAAAGGACCGGTCCAATCAACACTGACCGTAAGATAGTCCTGGACTAGTCCAATTTTGGAGATTTGTTTCGTTGTAGTAAGATTGCGTTCTGCACTTCGCAGGCGCTTGTTCCTAATTCGGAAACACAAAAAAAATAAATTTTATCATTTTATAACCATGTTTCTTCTGGCGGCATTTGAACCCGGACCCTCCTGAAAGCTAACAAATAGTGGCAAGCATCTCTGCGCACTGAGCTACAGCCACGTATGTAAATTTGTGTTCAAATGTTCACTTTGCATCAAGGCCAGACCAAGCGATTGGGAATTGCAAGACAACACCACCCTGTCACTGCCAAACTGCACTCTTCGTCTATCTCTAGGCCGGTTCCTTGGGGACTGGTCGAAGGCTGACATTTTCGATGCAAGCAAAGCATTGATTTGTCAATAGAAATGAAATGCATATGTGCCAAGGAACGGGAGGGACAGAAAATTGGCAAATAGCCTAGAAAAATCGCCAAATGTGTAGTACGCTACGTTACCTACCACCTTAAAAATACTTGTCATTGAGAATACCTTCACACTATGTACAAAGTAAATCGAAACACTTCTGTTTTAAAATTTTTGACTCTTAAACTCTTTGAATGTTCTCAAAACATTGAGTCGAAGATTCGAAATGCTGAGCAAAGAACGCCCTCTACTATTTCTTCTGTAAGTTCTATTTTTGAACAGAGGGGAGGCTTCTATATGTAATATTATATTTGCAAACAGTAGTTTTAGAAGTAAATCCACAATTCGAATACACAGTTCTAAAGTGTAGTCAAAGAACTCGGTGCCCCTGCCACTACCACTCTCAGAAAACCTTTTGTAGGAGTTTCCGCTCGTGCCTATCCTTTTTAAGGCAGTATAATACTTTTTTTTGGGTTCCAATATGCATAATGCAGTACTTTCCAAAATACTGTACTTATATTTTTTTCTGCCTACATATCTGTGTTCGTATGGAATAGTAGCTTATGTCGAAAGGCTGGCTTTGGTATAATGCGGCATTCCCTTTATTCTTTAAGCGACAAGGAATTTTTTGATGAGACTTAATAAGAATATTTTCTTGTTGGTATCGGAACTATTTCTTGCACGTTTTTTTGCAAAAAAATTCTTCAACGGCTCGGCGCCAGTGAGTCATTCGCAATCGTATGCTGCGAATGCCGCATTATACTAAAGCCAGCCTTTCGACATAACCCGAGCAAACATTTGAGTCATAAATGAGTCTTTAAGGAGTCCTATTTCGGAGCCATTAGCTCATAATGACTCATTTAAGAGTCCGATATGAGGGTGTTTCCTTTCCTCCGAAGGTCGCTTTATGAGCTTAAATTCATACACAAATAGCCTCAATATGAGTCATATTGGACTCTTTTGGCCTAATAACGGCTCATTTTGGACTCTTTTAAAACAATTTTGGCCCATATATGAATCATTTCAGACTCTTTTGAGCCTCTAATCGCCTCATAAATTACTAAATTCGGACTTTATTTTAGGTTTTCTTAGTCTTATTGAACGCACTTTATTTGCAAAGCATTAGCAAAATTTCCTTTCAATAACATACATACATACTTACATAAGTGCATATACACATTCCAAATGCACAATAGCAGCAGCTCAGCTAAATTTTGTTCATTTTTGTTTTCTAATTAATTTAATTTCTGTATAAACAAGTTTGGATATAAATTTCAAATCTTTATTGTTTTTATATGGCACAAGTGCTGGCTCATACTTTGACATATATGATCCTAAAAGGTTTTCTTACCTACCTAGGACTCCTTCGGCTCATATACTGAACGCTCAAATATGTTTGCGGGGAAGCTACTATTCCATACGAACATAGATTTACATACATATTCAAATATTTCGTCGTTTACTTCCATTTTTTTAACAAATATTAGTTTTTTTGCTTTCACCGCGTTCTGTTTTTTTCTACAAATGTAAACCTGCCTGTCGTTTGACACATTTTATGAAGTTGCTGGAA